GTTTTTTAATAGCCGTGACTCTCCATTTTCTTATAAAAATTTTTAGAAAATAATATTACCTACCTCACAAGATTGTTAGCAAAGTAAATTTGAAAATGCACATAGAATTTAGCATAAATTCAAAACATCACTCTTGAGGAATGTTAATTGTTGTTATATATCTGTTACTAAATATTTCTCATCACAATAATTGCAAGAGTAGGAGGGGGAATAAATTTTTGCTGTTTACCTAACTTTATGCTGTTATACACACATTTCGTAACTTTGCTTGAAAGCTTGAAGGAGATGACCATGAGACATTGAAAATATTGTGAAATGCTACAGTCCATTTTATGAGCTCAAATGTTTTAAATGTTTCACCATTTACAAGGTGATGCTGTTTTCTTCTTAAAGCTTAACACACATATCTAAGCACGCTCCATTTGCTTTCAGCGATTGCTGGCCCTAATAAGCCTGAGAGTGGATTTGCAGAAGACAGTGCTGCTCTGGGCGAGGTTGTGTCAGACCTCCACGAAGTGGTCTCCCTGAAGGAGCGGATGGCAAGGTACCAGGCAGCCGTTTCCAGGGGTGACTGCCGCAGCTTCTCTGCTAATGTAAGCTGCTTCTAATGGTTTTGCATTAGGCAATGTGCTTACTGTCTGTCCCAATTCCCTCTTTATATTTGAAATGTAAGAATACTACTGGACAGGGAGCTAAAGTAGAAAGAGTACAAAAATAGTGTGTGAAATCAATCCAGACTATCTGAATTTAAGTTTCAACTGTGCTACTTATTACTTGCGTGAATTTGACCTTTTTTTAATTTTTTTGAGATGGAGTCTTGCTCTGTCATCCAGGCTGGAGTGCAATGGCTCGGCTCACTGCACCCTCCACCTTCTGGATTCAAGTGGTTCTCTTGCCTCAGCCTCCCGAGTAACTGGGATTGCAGGAGCATGCCACCGTACTCAGCTTTCTATTTTTAGTAGAGACGGGGTTTCACGATGTTAGCCAGGATGGTCTTGATCTCTTGACCTCATGATCCTCCCGCGTCAGCCTCCCAAAGTGCTGGGATTACAGGCGTGAGCCACTGCACCCGGCCTTGAACTACTGTCTTAACTTCTCTCTGAGCTTCAGTTTCCTTGGCTGAAAAATGGGGATCATCATTTACCACACAGAGTCTTGGTGAGGAATCAGAGAGACAATTTACGTGAAAGCCATAAGGCACTGTATACATCTGTTATTATTATCATCATTATCACTTAACCTGTAGATATTCTCCTCAGGAAGGTTGGGAATTAATTTCAAATTTTAATAATGTGGGTTTGCATGTCACCTTCCTTGGTCTCATATATGGTTCATTGAAATTCACTGGCAGTATAATTTCTTTGGCTTTTCTCGTGTCTCTGTATGTACTAAATCCATTAGGAAAGGTTTAATCAACATAAAAATGAGAGAGATTAGCAATGTAGACACTCTGCTAAACCAATTATGATTATAGGAAACTGCAGGATTCAGTAAGATCACCAATATTTAGAGCCAATGCATTATAAAGTCATATTCAAAAGAATTTTTGGGTTCTGTATTCTGTGGCTTTCAACTTAATGGAATATAAGAAAGTTCTTTTATAATTATAATCTCCAAATTAGCCTAGTTGTATATGAGAGAGAGAGAGAGAGAGAGAGAGAGAGAGAGAGAGAGAGAAGCCAAAAAAAAAAGGTAGTGTATTAAAATAGCTACACTTAACATGCTTCTTTACAAATTATTTAGAGACAAGGCTGATTGTGCCAAATTCATTTAAAAAATGCAATTCTAGATGACATTTAAGTTTTCACATAGTCATTAAAATACATTTTAGACACAGCTTAAATTTGGAATGAATGTGCAGAAGTGACAGAAGTATCTAGATCACTTCCAAAATAAACAGTGGCACTACAGTACCTCCTGCCAGTCTTCTTCGATGGCACCCCCTGCTGGATCATTGAGGAACTTATTCGTGTTCTAAATTAGAGAAATGATTCATGAGGAAACAGTTGATTTTGAAAATGCCTAGTTAAAGACTGGTTATTTAGTAAACAATATTTGATTTAGGAAGATTGATCTTGCCAGTTACTATGAGAATATACATTTAAAAAGTGGTATCAGGGCATGATATATATTTATAATGTGTTTAAAAAGGGACTGTTTATATTGGACGCATAAGGAAACTAAATGATCCCATTATTTAATACAAAAGCAAAAACTTTAGGGCTAATCTGAAAACGTCTACATATAAAGAATTTAGTAATCCTCTCTTCCCTGCATACTTTATAGACAAGAAAACCAAGAGAAAGTTACTTATAGGAGATTATAAAATTAGGTAGTGAGGAGGCCAAGCTAGATTCCTAGTCTCTTGACTCTTGTACACTTCTAACTGAATTCAACTTCCTCATCTTTCCTAAATGAGAAAGTATTTTTGGCCCCCTAAATAAATATTATACTATATGGTTTGGCCCTAAGCGAATACTGTGAGAAAGAAGAGCACATACATTATCTCAGCGGAATCCTGGTAAATATCTAAAGCAAAGCAAAATCATTATTTATTTAATCATGTGCATGAAATGCTTGTTCAAGCCCCCCCCAACACACCAAAAATATCATGGAAACTGCCTGTGACTACATCTGTATCTCCACAATTAGCCCAAAATTTTAAGTGCAAAATCTGGAAGTCACAGAATCAGACCCAAACTGAATCTACTATATTTCAATCATATTTACACATGTAAAGACAATCTATTTTTCCTTGTCTTAGACTCAATCAGATGGCATTTGGTTGTATCTAAATGAAAGTTATGCCTGTGAAACAGTGGTGGTCTGTAGAAGCCCCCTAAAAGAGAGGGAAAAGTAACACTTGTCGTACAATGAATTAAAATGCCAGATTCATTTTCAAGTCTGTGCAATTTTATTCCCTTTACCTTTTTTAATACTCACAATAAATCTGTGAGAAAAATATTTCTAGGCCCAGTTTATAAGAAGGAAACCCGAGTTCAAGAGCTGTAGCCCAAGATTTTAATTGTCAGGGCTGGAATTAGAAGCACTATCTGTCCAACTCCCAAAATTATATTATTTCTTTTATGCCCTATAAACCAATAACCGTTTTTGTAAAAAGAACTTGAGGACGGTGTAATGTATTTACCTAGATTTAACTGTTAAGTGTTCAAATTAACATATTATTATCAGCATACCCATTAGATTCCAAACCTTATTGCTGAGCCAAATAATAAGAAACACAGAATAATAATAAACATAAAAAGTTTCAACACAAAGCAATTTCAGTTATGTGGTCAATGATGACATTCATTAGTTGGGACATTTAGAGCATGACACTAAATAATGCAAGGAAATAATGCAAGAAATAAATTTCACAGGAAAGGTCCCCAACTGAGCAAGGAAGCATTACTCCCGGTTATGGCCACAGACTGTTTCTTGGGCAAGTCCTGCCATCTGTCGTGTGTAAACTTTCATCTAAACGCTGAGTGGAACAAGGAAGGCTTAGCATCACCACTGAACCGTATTTCAGAAGATTTGTCTCACTTGGGTGAATGAGCAGCTGCAGTAGTGTAATGATAGTACCAGGGGTAGTAGGGGTGGTATTAGTACTACTATTAAAAATAATCTGTAGTGGCTCTCGCCTGTAATCCTAGCATTTTGGGAGGCCAAAGTGGGTGGATCACCTGAGGTCAGCAGTTCAAGACCAGCCTGGCCAACATGAAGAAACCCCATCTCTACTAAAATACAAAAAAAAAAAAAAAAAAAAAATAGCCAAGCATGGTGGCGGGTGCCAGTAATCCCAGCTACTAGGGAGGCTGAGACGGGAGAATCGCTTGAACCCAGGAGAGGGTGGTTGCAGTTAGCTGAGATCGTGCCACTGCATTCCAGCCTGGACTGCTGAGTGAGAAGACTCCATCTCCAAAAAAAAAAAAGAAAGAAAAATCAACTGTATGAATTTTTCCTTGTGTAATATAGTCTGTTTCTAAAGTGCAGTGCTAAAGGAAAGTAATGGGTGTATTTGTTTTGTTTTGTTTTTTTGAGACAGAGTCTTACTCTGTTGCCCAGGCTGGAGTGCAGTGGCACAATCTCGGCTCATTGCAACCTCTGCCTCCTAGGTTCAGGCAATTCTCCTGCCTCAGCCTCCCAAGTAGCTGGAATTACAGGCATGTGCCACCATGCCGGGCTAATTTTTGTACTTTTTTAGTAGAGATGGAGTTTCCCACATGTTGACCAGGCTTGTCTCAAACTCCTGACCTTGTGATCCGCCCACCTTGGCCTCCCAAAGTACTAGGATCACAGGTGTGAGACACTGCACCAGGCTGGTATATCTGTTTTTTAATCCATTTTATAGATGAGAGGCAACCTGTCCAGCATAATAATTGATCTTTTTGTGAAAATGCACTTACCAGGAGAGCATCCAGTTGTAAGCATAATACTAAGGCTTGCCAGATTAATTTGCACATGATTGGGACATCATAATAGTTGTTTGAAGCAGCAAGGTTCTTCTTAATAATTACCTTAATGTCTATAATTTAATACTTATATATTATCTATATATAATTTATCCAGGAAAGCCACTTATATAAATTAAATGGCAGAAGGGGTAAAATAAATATTGTGGCCTTAATTCACCCTTCCCGTTTTTCTCTGTATCTTAAATTTCAAAAGGGGTGCTGTACATTTTTATGACCTTAACATACATCAACTAGAAGTAATTGATTAGGATTTACATTTGAAGTTTGTTGGAAAATTTGATACAATATATACCTAGTTCATAGAAGAGTACAATCATCTCTTCTCAAAGGGCCAGCAGGCATATTCTGAAATATCTGATAGTCCACATAAATGAGGAAACATTATTAACTTAGTAAAGCAACCACTTGAGTATTTGCTAGTAATTTAGATAATCCTGAATATTCGTTTATAATATTCTGGAGTATGGGAAACCCAAACCTCTAGATAGGCACTACATTTTTAATATCTATTTGAAAACCTACTTATTTGGGTAAATATCCAGGACCCCAAAGTCCCCAGTCCTCGGTATAGAAACCTCTCAGCTCCTGGGCCCTCAGTTACTTTCGACGTCTTAAGGCATTGAGGGTTATGTCAGGACTGGGTCAGACCTCAGGAGACCTGCTCTTACTTGAAGTGTTGCCAAGTCTTCCAGTTGCAAGGAGACCTAGAATCTTCCTGGAGGAGGGAAGGCTGGCATGGGGCCTGTTTGCTTGAGAGTTATCCCTTCTGGGCTTGACTGCCTGCTGGGCTCTGGAGTCTGCTGAATCATCAAAACCAGTGCGCCTGAGCTACTTCTGCACTTCCTGAAGGGGCATAGGTCTTACAGGACTACTAAGGTGCTTTTCAAATTGCTTCCAATGATACCTATCGAAATTAGTTTTTTCATTTGTGAAATGACAGTGGTAGACTAGAACGCTTCTAATGTGAAAGTCCCCTGATTCTGACATGCCAGTGCTCAGAGCTGATGCCTGGGGTGTGCTAATCCTGGAGTAGTATAACTGCTGGTTTTCTGCCTATTCTTTGAGGCCAGTGATGAAGACAGACAGATGCGGATTGAAATTCCAGTGCCACCACTTCTATTCTAGCTGTGAGAACGTAATAAGCTGTCTTACTTCTCTAAGTCTCAATTTCCTTATTTTAAAATGTGGGTAATAGGTGTCCATATCTCACAGAATATGGAGAAGCATTAAATGACAAAATATGTCATTTAATACATACAAAATCACTTAAGTAGTCTCATTACTCATATTAGTATTTTTACATAAGGAATATTCTGAGGCTATTTTGTTCATCCTTAATAATTTAAAAAATTTGGAGTAAAAATGATTTTAAAATTATTCTTAATAATGTGTTCCCTATATAGATGTTTGGGATTTTAATGACAACTTTATTGTGGGTTCAAATTGAGTCCATTATTCTAATATCCACTAGTCTGTATATTACAGGAGAAATACTGTGCAATCTAATAGGTCTTATCTGCAGACATCAAAATTTATCTGAGATTAGGAGAATTAACTCAATACTTTGAAGATTCTTCTGACTTTATATCAAAAGACTGAAAAATGAGAAAACAACCCAGAAAGAATATCTTTATTAAGCTTTTGTTAAAGGCATACTGAAATAATGGTGTATGTGAATATCTTTTTAAGATACTGCCTATCAATAAATGTCAACTATTTTAAAAATAGCTTGAGAATCCCATCCTGCACAGCTGTAAAGCTGAATTTTCCTTTTTCTTAAATCATCCTAGATGATGGAAGAATCAGAAATGTGCACAGTGCCTGGTGGTTTGGCCAAGGTGAAGAAACAATTTGAGGATGAAATTACTTCTTCCCGTAATACCTTTGCTCAATACCAATATCAACATCAGAACAGATCTGAGCAGGTAATACTACTACAGGTGATGGGTAAATCAGCCATGGTTGAAATGCTCTCATTTTGGTGCCAATGTAGAAATCTCCTTTCTTTAGTGATACATTTATTTTCATTGCTCATTAACAAACACTGTAACTTTGAAATGTTTTAGAAAATCATCTTTAAGACATATATATGTATTTATTTACTTACTTGAAGCATTTTTGCCAAATTTCTAGAGATCATGCTGGAATATTCTACCTCTCATCTTCTAATGTTTCAGACATTAATGAAAATTAAATAGTCTAGGTTAATCAACAGGTAAATCGAACAGTTAAGAGCAATGTTTATACTGAGTCCCTGCTTCTAGGTTATAATTCATAATAAACTAGCTTCTGGTTGCTTGCATAGATTAAGTTGGAAGCATTATTCAGCTGTTTATTGTGGTGGGGAGTTTTCTGTTTTCTTTAAAATCCTCAAACACGGAATTGTAGAGCTCAGATGTTACATAAAACCACATAATCTGACCTCTAAATGTTATCTTATAGAAATTTTTTTTCCCATTTCATTGATTTCATTATTTCATTATTATATATTACAAAATACTGTCATGAGATTTAATGATTTTTGAATGTGAGAATCTTAGTAATAAACCTCATCAGACTTGAAAATTTTTAATAGTAATTACACTGTAAACAGCTGTACATAGGCCCATGTTTTCCATGAGGAAGGAGACTACTGAGGTAATTCTTAAATATTGTAGTGAGAAATGAAGTGGATGTATTTCTTTTTAATCCGCAGGACATATAGAGTTGCCTAAATTTTTTGTTTTGTTTTGTTTTGTTTGTTTTTTTGTCATTCTACTGGTTTTTTTGTTTGTTTGTTTGTTTTTATACTTTAAGTTCTAGGGTACATGTGCATAACGTGCAGGTTTGTTACATATGTATACTTGTGCCATGTTGCTGTGCTGCACCCATCAACTCGTCAGCACCCATCAACTCATCATTTACATCAGGTATAACTCCCAGTGCAATCCCTGGGGGAGTTATATCCCCCCTACCCCCTCCCCATAATAGGCCGCGGTGTGTGATGTTCCCCTTCCCGAGTCCAAGTAATCTCATTGTTCAGTTCCCACCTATGAGTGAGAACATATGGTGTTTGGTTTTCTGTTCTTGTGATAGTTTGCTGAGAATGATGATTTCCAGCTGCATCCATGTCCCTACAAAGGACACAAACTCATCCTTTTTTATGGCTGCATAGTATTCCATGGTGTATATGTGCCACATTTTCTTAATCCAGTCTGTCACTGATGGACATTTGGGTTGATTCCAAGTCTTTGCTATTGTGAATAGTGCTGCAATGAACATATGTGGGCATGTGTCTTTATAGCAGCATGATTTATAATCCTTTGGGTATATCCCCAGTAATGGGATGGCTGGGTCATATGGTATTTCTAGTTCTAGATCCTTGAGGAATCGCCATACTGTTTTCCATAATGGTTGAACTAGTTTACAATCCCACCAACAGTGTAAAAGTGTTCCTATTTCTCCACATCCTCTCCAGCACCTGTTGTTTCCTGATTTTTTTAATGATTGCCATTCTAACTGGTGTGAGATGGTATCTCATTGTGTTTTGATTTGCATTTCTCTGATGGCCAGTGATGATGAGCATTTTTTCATGTGTCTGTAGGCTGTATGCATGTCTTCTTTTGAGAAATATCTGTTCATATACTTTGCCCACTTTTTGATGGATTTGTTTGTTTTTTTCTTGTAAATCTGATTGAGTTCTTTGTAGGTTCTGGATATTAGCCCTTTGTCAGATGAGTAGATTGCAAAACTTTTCTCCCATTCTGTAGGTTGCCTGTTCACTCTGATGGTAGTTTCTTTTGCTGTGCAGAAGCTCTTTAGTTTAATTAGATCCCATTTGTCAATCTTGGCTTTTGTTGCCATTGCTTTTGGTGTTTTAGACATGAAGTACTTGCCCATGCCTATGTCCTGAATGGTACTACCTAGGTTTTCTTCTAGGGTTTTTATGGTATTAGGTCTAACATTTAAGTCTCTAATCCATCTTGAATTAATTTTCGTATAAGGAGTAAGGAAAGGATCCAGTTTCAGCTTTCTACTTATGGCTAGCCAATTTTCCCAGCACCATTTATTAAATAGGGAATCCTTCCCCCATTTCTTGTTTTTCTCAGGTTTGTCAAAGATCAGATGGCTGTAGATGTGTGGTATTATTTCTGAGGACTCTGTTCTGTTCCATTGGTCTATATGTCTGTTTTGGTACCAGTACCATGCTGTTTTGGTTACTGTAGCCTTGTAGTATAGTGTGAAGTCAGGTAGCGTGATGCCTCTAGCTTTGTTCTTTTGACTTAGGATTGTCTTGGCAATGCGGGCTCTTTTTTGGTTCCATATGAAATTTAAAGCAGTTTTTTTCCAATGCTGTGAAGAAAGTCATTGGTAGCTTGATGGGGATGGCATTGAACCTATAAATTACCTTGGGCATTATGGCCATTTTCACAATATTGATTCTTCCTATCCATGAGCATGGTATGTTCTTTCATTTGTTTGTGTCCTCTTTTATTTCACTGAGCAGTGGTTTGTAGTTCTCCTTGAAGAGGTCCTTTACATCCCTTGTAAATTGGATTCCTAGGTATTTTATTCTCTTTGAAGCAATTGTGAATGGAAGTTCATTCGTGATTTGGCTCTCTGTTTGTCTGTTACTGGTGTAGAAGAATGCTTGTGATTTTTGCACATTAATTTTGTATCCTGAGACTTTGCTGAAGTTGCTTATCAGCTTAAGGAGATTTTGGGCTGAGATGATGGGGTTTTGTAAATAGACAATCATGTCATCTGCAAACAGGGACAATTTGACTTCTTCTTTTCCTAACTGAATACCCTTGATTTCTTTCTCTTGCCTGATTGCCCTAGCCAGAACTTCCAACACTATGTTGAATAGGAGTAGTGAGAGAGAGAGCATCACTATCTTGTGCCAGTTTTCAAAGGGAATGCTTCCAGTTTTTGCCCATTCAGTATGATATTGGCTGTGGGTTTGTCATAAATAGCTCTTATTATTTTGAGATACGTTCCGTCAATACCGAATTTATTGAGAGTTTTTAGCATGAAGGGCTGTTGAATTTGTCAAAGGCCTTTTCTGCATCTATTGAGATAATCATGTGGTTTTTGTCTTTGGTTCTGTTTATATGCTGGATTACGTTTATTGATTTACATATGTTGAACCAGCCTTGCATCCCAGGGATGAAGCCCACTTGATTATGGTGGATAAGCTTTTTGATGTGCTGCTGGATTCGGTTTGCCAGTATTTTATTGAGGATTTTTGCATCGATGTTCATCAGGGATATTGGTCTAAAATTCTCTTTTTTTGTTGTGTCTCTGCCAGGCTTTGGTATCAGGATGATGTTGGCCTCATAAAATGAGTTAGGGAGGATTCCCTCTTTTTCTATTGATTGGAATAGTTTCAGAAGGAATGGTACCAGCTTCTCCTTGTACCTCTGGTATAATTCAGCTGTGAATCCATCTGGTCCTGGAGTTTTTAATTAATTAAGCTATTAATTATTGCCTCAATTTCAGAGCCTGCTATTGGTCTATTCAGGGATTCAACTTCTTCCTGGTTTAGTCTTGGAAGAGTGTAAGTGTCCAGGAAATTATCCATTTCTTCTAGATTTTCTGGTTTATTTGCGTAGAGGTGTTTATAGTATTCTCTGATGGTAGTTTGTATTTCTGTGGGGTCAGGGGTGATATCCCCTCTATCATTTTTTATTGCGTCT